ATTAGAGAACAAGAAGATAAACAACATTACAAGCTATCCCGCCAGGCCTGGGGGTAAAGACCATAGTTTGCCCCCGCCCGAATGTTGAATGAATGTTGTTTGATCTTAACTATATATTGTATTTTTATGTTATTGTACGTCTTCCCCTCCCATAAGTTGTTAGCCGCCCTGAGTCCCCTCAGGGAAAAGGGCGGCCTATAAATAAACGCAACTACAACTACAACTACAACTACAACCCCACCCCAAAAATAAGAGGGACGCCATAGGTTTCATCCAAGCTCTTGAGTTGGTTACAAATTCCCATTCTATTCCTTTGGAATATTGAATAGAATAGAATGGCAGAGTTGGAAGGGACCTCGGAGGTCTTCTAGTCCAACCCCCTGCCCAGGTAGGAAACCCTATAGCAACCCTATAGACCAACGGTTGTCCAATCTCTTCTTAAAAACTTCCTCTCAAGGTACATATGATCCGTTCCTGGATTTAAATCAGATGGACTCTGTTGTAGGAACACAAACCTGTTTGATTCCCAAATGATCTCCTACATCCCTTTGCAAGTAGCCCTTGACTTACTACGGTTCGTTTAAGGACTGTTTGAACTTGCAACGCTGTTGAAAAAAAGCGATGTAGGACTTGTCCTCGCAGTTACGACGGTTGTAAGCTTCCAGACAAACCACATGATCAAAATTTGGGCTACTGGCCTGTATTTGCAAAGAGTTGCAGCATCTGGGGGGGGGGTTCGTGGGGGGGCACATTTGCAACCTCCCGCCAAGCAAGGTCAACGGAGGAAGCTGGATTCGCTTCACGACCATGCAATTCGCTTAACGACTGCAGGGGTTCACTTAACAATGGCGGCAAAAAAAGATTGCAAAATCGCGCGTGGATCATTTTAAAACCACATCCCTTAGCAACAGATGTTCCCGACCCAATTTGTGGCCGTAAGTCGAGACCCACCTGTAGTTGATGGAGAGCCAGTGCGAAGTTGGTTAGAGAGTTGGCCCAAAGCCTTTCTGCCCACCCCTACCTCACAGGGTTGTTGTTGGGAAATTGTGGAGAAGGCAGTTTAGTAGCTTGAACTTCTGCCGGGGGAGGGAGGGGTCTAAATCAAATAAATAAACGCCGAAGCACTTGCTCCAGGTTGTAAAATCTTACTTTTGCACGTTTACGAACGGGATGCTGATTTTCCCACGCCCTTAAGGCCAGGGGACCTCCCTCCCTGCCCGCCAGGCGTCCGTCGGAGCCCGGCCTTCCCCTCTTTCGCCTCCAACGTACTTATGTCTCACTGACTTCTGTGTAAACACGAGTCCGACAAGAAAGTAAATCCCCTTTTGCGATGCCCGGCGCGTGATTTAATCCACAGATCTGTAATGTAAATGTTAAGATAAGCCGGGATGTGAAGCACCGCTTGACTCGGTGCGATGCCGGGAGAAAGAGCCCAGCGGAGGGCTGGTGTCAAATGATTCTTGGGGGGGGGTCTTTTGGGGGAGGGGGGAGGAAATGCCCAGCGCTTTGCTTGTGCAAGCCACAAAGGCGAGAGGCGGCTGGCTCCGGGTGCGAATCTCACTCAGGAAGCCCGTCGGAATCATCGGGAGCTGCAGAGGGCAAGAGTCACGAGTTCACCCGGCCTTCTCCTCCCCTGCTCTTGAGGCAAAGTCTCATGTCCTCTCGCTGGGTCTTTATTTCTTCCTGAAGTGCAACAACACTCTGGATATGAAGGCTTTCTTCTCTTCTACTCCTGCGTC